TAATTTACATTACTCATGAAAAGATTACCAAAGGGTGAGGTTAATTTATGAGAAAAAAATGTTACTTCTTTTCAATGATTCAGATTTCTTGTGTTAAGATTAGATTCAATTACTAATACCAAATACCCACTTAGAGTGGTTTCTCCCAGTGGAAATTTTACGTCCCCTTTGTTCCCCACTTAAAAGCCTACACATCAGTCCCACACTGCCATCCGGGGTCCTGGCTCTCTCTGCTTTGTGGCTATGCCTTTTTCAGGCTGTTGCTTTTGTCTGCCAGCCATGTCCAACTATATGCTTTTGTCTGATGTTGACGGTTCTGAGAAGTACCAGTCATACTTTTTATATGCTATCTCTCAATTGGGTTGATCATTTTGTCATGATGAACCTTGGGTAATAGTTTGGGGAATGAAAACCACAGAGGGAGGACACAATTTTCATCACATCACACAGGTTGACTTCGCGCTTCATGTCAGAATCACCCAGTAAGGCAGCACCATCAGCCTTCTCCACCGTAGGGGGTACTTCTTTTTCTCTCTGTCCATACTGTACCTTTTAAAAGGCAGTCACTGTGGGGACCCAATCCCGCTTCAAGAAGAGGGTAATTATACTTCATCTCCTGGTGGGTGGAATATTTATGAAGATTATTGGGAAGATTTGTCTCTTTTCCTCTATCATTTATGTATTTATTTATTTCAATGTGGACTCCATAGATACTAGTTCCGTATGTTAGGTTACAGTCCAACACTGCTTATTTGGTTGCCCAGATTCTTTCAGTTAGTTCTTCTGTTCCTTTGACATGCCCTTAAGACTTAGGGGGTTTTATTTATTCATTCATTATCTTTTCCTTGCATTCTGGCACCACAAGCTGTTCTAGCTTCATCTTGTATATTTTCTACCTCCAGTGCTAGAATCAGCCATTTCTCCTGGGACCTCTTGCTCTGTTCACTGGGGAGTGGTTTTAGAGACCCAGATCAGGGTGCTAGTTCAGCTTGTTACTGCCAGAGACCCAGATCGGGGTGCTAGTTCAGCTTGTTACTGCCAGAGGCCCAGATCGGGGTGCTAGTTCAGC